TGGGTTCAAATCCCGTACTGGCCTGAATTTTTTTTAGGTCTTACTTTCAACTACTAATTTAGTAGTGTTCTTTGCTGCGAGGATCTCTTATATCTGTCTCTTCACCGCAGTACAAATATATGAATTCCATATATTTAAAATCATTATTCATCACTTGGATGGTTTATTTGGACCTAACATATTATCCAGCTCTCAGTTGGCTTGTTAGCTCAGTTGGTACAGCGCTGCAACGGTATCGCAGAGTTCCTAGGTTCAAATCCCGTACTGACCTGAATTTTTTTCAGCTCTTATTACATCTAACTATTGTTGTTGACCCGTACAGGCCTGAATTTTTTTCAGGTCTTACTTTCAGCTACTAGTTCAAGTTGTGTTCTTAGCTGCGAGGACCTCTTATATCCGTCTCTTCACCGCAGTGCAAATATATGAATTATCTGATATTAGTGATCATTCCTTGCAATTTTGCATCTTAAAATCTGTGAAGGATAAAGTAAAGGATAACCAGTGTTCTAATCTTCATGTCAGGTGCAGTTCTCTACCGCAGACAAAGCAAACAATATCATTAGTCTCGATGTTTCTGTTGAATTTATCATAAATTTGCCTCAAAATCCTAACCACTTCTTATAGTATTTCTGAAATTGTGGGAAGCAAATACACTGTCGATGGTGTTAAATTTTATAGGTAAACAAAACATGACAATCAGAACAAAAATCATACAATGGAATGAATCAAGAACAAGCTGTTCACCATACAACACTAATTTCTGGTTACTATGTATCTGCGGCAAAAAACCATGTATCATCGGAAAAACTAAGAGAACTTCATTGCATTCGCTTTCACTCGTCTTCAATGCTTCACAATACTTAGGAATGGAAGTCCAATGTAAATTTTAAATGTTCGTCGAAATTACAGTTTCAAGGCAACTGTTTTCATACTAATAATGTCGCGAACATTACATTACCTAAGCAAAAAACCACATTACTGAAGAGTTCAGAATAATGTTGGGTCGCACTTAAGGAGGAAACTATGCGCTGTGAAGCCCACCATACTCAGCGAAAGGCACCAAGTACTCTCGATCTGCCTTTCTCGGTTCTCTAATACACAATAAATTCTACTTACATCCAATTTTTCCCCAGTCTGTGGAACTCTGGTTAATTTCTTCGACTCTTACAATTTGATTATCTCTGAATACCTTTTATTGACCTCTCCCTGATTTGTGCTGCGCATGCTACAAAATGAACTATGAAGTACAT